CGGGGGAATCCGCCTGCAGCTCACAGCCTGCCGGAGCCGCTCTAAGGTAAGCAGGGAACTGGGGCAGGGATGCCGGCAAAACGCAGCTGGGAGTATTTTCCCGGACATGTTCGGCTTTTTGGCAATTCCCCCTGGATGGGGATTTGAGGACCAAAAATCCGGACATGTCCGGGAAAATCCGGACGTATGGTAACCCTACCATCAGGTCATAGAAAATAGAAAAGAGACCTATTGGATCATCTAATCTCTTGTTACTAGTGCAGAATTCTTCCCTGCAGTACGGTTTGTTAGCCCTCTGTCCCGTTTGAAATGACCCACGCAATGAGTTTGTTTTTTCTATCCTCAGGAGACTATTGCTGTTATCTAAGAAAACTGTTGCTAGTAGTCAGCATACATTTTCCTTTGCCTAATTTCATCTCATTCCTAGTTCCTACCTTAAAGAAAAACAACACACTTCTCAGCTTCTTCTCCAAACCCGCAAAAATATCTTCCTTTAGTCACCAATACCGAGCAGGAACATAAGTAGTTATATTAATATCTTGCCTCAGGTCAATTGCCAACACACTCATTTATTGTCAGTGCAATGTACAATAATAGTGGGGTTTATTTTCTGTAAGCATTGCAGTAATCATTGGTTTTTAAGCCACACAGACTGGGTAGATTCCCTGAAGGGGAAAAAACGCTAACAGAGAATAGATGAAAATCTGATAAATTTAAATTTAAGAGTGGAGGAAGGCTAGTGTTTTCTGCATTCCTTTGATGCAGTGGAAAATCATGTAACTAAAATAAACTGCAACTGTAATCAACTACCCCAAGAAAATGGAGGATTTCTGCTTGTACTTCTTAGGATGTAATTTAACATCCTTGTTGAAAGATGCCCTTGCCTCACCTCCAAGTAAAAAGAAAAAGGATAAAATTGTATAGAATAATTGCACTGAGGGTCTCTCCTCACAGCTATAACTGCAAGAATGGAGCAGGCAACAGGAATTTTGGGATCCACGCTGATCAAAAGGGCTGAAAGAAACTGCCACTAAGGGCTTGTCTACACTTACCGGGGGATCAACGCGCGGCATTCGTTGCATCGGTGGTCGATTTAGCAAGTCTAGTGAAGACCCACTAAATTGACCGCAGATCGCACTCCCATTGACTCCTGTACTCCGCTTGAATGAGAAGTGCAAGGGGTGTTGACGGGAGAGCGTCTCCTGTCGACATAGTGTAGTGTGGACCCCACGGTAAGTAGATCCAAGTTACATAGTTATTCACGTAGCTGAAGTTGCGTAACTTAGATCGATCTCCCCCCATAGTGTAGAGAAGGCCTAACCCTTATCCCAGAGATTGGACATTCTTCTTAACTCTCCCAGTGTTGAATCCTTGTACTTTTATTTGAGAGATAAAGGAGCTGCAGTTCAAGTAAGACAGGTCTATTTTTCTTGCTTGATATCAATACATATTCACATACATAAGACGTAGCTCCAATGAGAGCTAACTGATTACATCAAGAGAACAGACCCCCTTTAGCTCTTATGCGTCCTCCAGTCAAGACAATTCTTTTTGTTGGTAGACTGAACCCTGAACTGCCCAATACATCAGAAGTTTTTCTAGGCACAAAGAGAAGCAAAAAAACAGACCAACCCACAGAATGGGATTTCTCAGTCTCTCATCCACAGCATTTAAATTGTAAAGATCAAGAAAAGGACTTTATTACAATTTGCAGAGAAGTCTGTTTTCACAGTACAGTCAACCCTCTTACAGTCAGATGGTTTGTGGATGTTGGAGTCTCTGGTTCTCCTCCATTTTGGGGGGTAAAAACTCTGGGTTATTTTTTTGTTTGTTTGGTGGATTTGTACTTACACAGCCTATGAGGGAGAGGCTAAAAGACAGGGGCAAATCCTCAGCTGATGTAAATTGTTAGCTCCTCTGACTTCAATGGAACTATAATAATTTACACCAGATGCTGAACTACCCTCTTAGTGTTTACCTTTGGGCATGTCTACACTACAAAATTAAGTCACCCTAAGTGATGTTAATGTACAGCCACTGCAGTAATTAAATCGCATTTGCATGTCCACACTACGCTCGTGTCGGCGGTGCACAACCTCACCAGGACCGCTTGTACCGATTGAACTGTCAGTGCGGGGCATTGTGGAACGGCGTCTGAAAGGCAGCAACGGTTGATGTAAGCAATGCAGTGTCTACACTGACACTGCATCAACCTAACTACATTGACCAAAGCGCTACGCCTCTCATGGAGGTAGAGTTATTAAGTCTGTGTAGTGGGCGAGTTACATTAAAAAGTAGCTCCTACCAACAGGCACTTACAGAGTTAGGTCAACATAAGCTGCCTTATGCTGACTAACTCTGTAGTGTAGACCAGGGCTAAGTGTATACATTTTTACGAAAGACACTGGTCTGAGTTGTTTAGTCCAGTATTTCCGGATGTTTCACCCATCCTGCTACATACTTGTTCAGAGCAGCAGCAAAGTGGATCTTGTTTTAGGAAAGTAGCCTGACCCTTCCAAGGTACTGTGGAGTAGCATAATCCAGCAGTTTCACTCCAGCTAAGCAACAGGCATTTGGACATTGGCAAACCACCGAGTTATCTTGCATAGTTTTTTCAGCAGAAAAAATTTCAGTCATCATTAAGGCTGCGTGTCCGTCACGGAGGTCACAGATACTGGTACTTTCAGTGACCTCTGTGATTTCGCCCAGCAGCAACAATAGTTTGGATGTGGGAGGGGGCTCAGGGCTGGGGTGCGATGCTTACCTTGGGGGGGGGATCCCCAGAAGTGGCCGGGATGTCCCTGTAGCTCCTAGGCAGAGGAGCCAGGGGGCTCTGCGCACTGCCCCTGCCTGCAGGCACCACCCCCGCATCTCCCATTGGCTGAAGTTCCTGGCCAACAGGAGCTGCAGAGCCGGCGCTCGTGGGGGAATGAGGGGGGGCAGCACATGGCGCCCCTCTGGCCTTCCCTCCCCTCCCCTCCCCTCCTCCTAGGAGCTGCAGGGACATGCTGGCCGCTTCATGGAGCTGGGAGCCTGCCAGCCCCGCCAACCCTCTCCCCTCCCCCAAGCACCAGCAGGGATCCCAGGCTGCACGCTCGTGCCCTCCCCCAGCACCCACAGTGGCCCTGGCCCGCCTCCTTCCAGAGCACCCCCGGCCCAAGTTTTAGTTAGGGGTATATAGTACAAGTCATGGACCGTGAATTTTTGTTTATTGCCCATGACCTGTCCATGACTTTTACTAAAAATACCCATGACTTAAGTGTAGCCTTAGTCATATAATATGGAACAGGTGTAATGACCCACCTTTGAAAGGTTTTCCAGTGGGAGGATAAAATCAGCAGCCAGCTACCATGAGTGAAAACAGGATGGCTTGCAAAAGAATTAACATTTACATTGGAAAACATTCTTTTAGCCAAGTCTTTATCATGTTAGAAAATATACATTAAAATGGGCTGCTTAGAGGAGAAGCAGATACTTGGCAGCATGTCCAATAAAGCAAGAGTGGGGTCATTTTAAAAAGGAGAATATGAGGATTGGCAAACCTATACATATAGAGTAAATAATGCAAGACACAGAATTTTCAGGAAGCTGGACCAACCCTGGCGCGCGCACACCCCTACTCACTCACCCTTTACTAGGACAACTGATGATGGCTGAAGAACTAATTATATTTTATTCACCCATTAAAAAAAAAAAAAAAAAAAAAGGTTACCTACTGCAGGCAAGGGGCAAGAGTAGGTGTTTGCAGAGCTGCACTAGCACACTTAGCACTACAGCACTTGACAGCCACAGCCTGCCATGTGCTTTACAAAGGTGGGTGTGTATCATTACACTCCAGTTTACAGTGGGGGGGATGATGCACACAGAGGGGCAAGTCACTTCATCAAGGCCACATGGAAGACCTAGCTTGTGCCACTGACTTGCTGATTATCAGTTGTGTGTTCAAGTCCCCAGATCATGGTGCCTACCTTGATAGTGGCCCCATATGAAAGGTCTGGCAGTACCTGCTGCAGTCTTGCCACTTTTAGTTTCTTCAAAGCATGGCCACAATAATTTATTTATAAACGAAACATTCAAGGAATCCAGAAAGCAAGGACCTTCCAGATGGGACCCCTGTGGAAGGAGGACAATTTTCCCACCTATGAACCTTGACAATATCCCTTTAAAAAGGTCATTTGGGCCAGGGTGGGTTTCTTAATCATTTTTATTTTTAAAAAGAAACTGCCAAACGCGACAGCAGGACAATGGGTGTGAGTCAGCAACATTATTTCTGGACCACATACACGATTAATAAAAAAACATCAGCAATTTTAAAATAAATATGAATAACGGGGTGGGGAGCAGGAATGGGAAAGTTAAAATTCTCTCCAGTGAAAGAGACGGACGTAAATGCTGACATGATGCTTCATGAGGAAGAAATGGGCTTGTTTGGGCCCGACCAAGCCTGTTTAGACACCCTTTTATACAACTCCACAGTTCTACAAGCTGCTGTCAATTTAATTTGAATCAGCCTTTGTGGCCTCAGCAAATTCAAACTGGTCTGGACACTCCTTGTTAATGCTCTGGGCTGGAAAACTATTTCAGCTATTGTAAGATTAGTTGCTAAGCAACCCAGCCCCTTGATTTTGCAACCTGTGTGGCAAGGGAAGAGACAGAAGGAACTGAATTTCATTTTATGCAACAATAAAATATCATCTCAAGGTGGTATTTGCTAGAACAAGTAGACGGAAGAGCCCTTTTCGGAAGGGTGCAATAGTTCCACAGATCCTTTACGAAGCAGTAAGCAAAGGTGCAAGGTCTTGCTCAAAGTTGCTCCACTGAAGAGGCTGTTAGCAAAAACATCACAAATAAATAGGTACTCTCTCTGGGGAACTCTGATAGCTTTGTACAGTGTGTTGAGATTGGAAACTTTTTTTTTTTTTTTTTTACAAGCCCAGACACAAAACAAAGAACCCTTCCACACAAAGCAACAAGTATACCAACGCAATGAAATATAAAAACTAAATTGCACTGCACACAGATTTTCCAGATAAACTCAAAATAACTGAACATAGCCAGATCGTACAAACCGTTAGTTAAAAAAATACCTTCTCGGATATTTTGAGAACAAAGTTGAAATAGAGTCTTCGTGCAAATGTTCACCCTTGATCTAGCCGATGACTTGAAAAATCATCACAGATGTGTTAGCTCCTTCCTTATCTGCCATATACACACAGCGTTTATCTTCTGCAATACGATTAGGGTTAGGAAATCTGTTTCTTCAGTAAATACCACCTTTTAAGTTCCACTGACGTATCATCAAGACACTACTGGTGTCATATCCCACAACTGTTAAAAATAATAAGAATGCATGTAATATCATAGGGGAAAGCATTGTGTTCTTCTGTTAAAGAAAAGCATTAGGTTTGAAAACATTTGACATCATTTTAACTCATTTAAACAACAGAGCCTTCATTATGAGAAGGAAACAAACAAAAAACATAAAACCAAGAACACAGCACCTTTGCTTACATGCCTGATGAGCACTACGAGCTATAGTCCTTTCCTTTTGTCAAGATAAGCTACATCTAGATAGCTAACCTCTATTTTCCTAGTGTTGATGCACCCACGGTTTCAGTGTAAGAATTATTTTTAAGTTGCACAGGTGACAAAATCTATCTTCCGTCACTATTACACAAAACAGTCAAGGCAAATGGGTAGTGTATAGAAGACTGAATTTGTACAATGATTTTTTGTGCTATGAGAACTTTAAAGTGTATTTTTAAATGAAATTTGAGACATTTACTTAAGACAAAAACATTCCACCCTAGCAATCTACTGAGGTTGTACACCACTTATTAGCACTTAACATATTTTCAGTTTTTCAGGCACAAGGATACAGAACAATTCCTTCAATTCTTTACCTGTTTTGATTTTTTTTTTTTTTTTTTTTTTTTAAGAAGTTACTGTTTTATTTCCTCCCATTTCTGCCACCTCAGAGCTCCACATATGAAGCTCAGTGAAGTGATTGGGTTTATGAATTTCTTGCTCGTGGATGGGCAGTGACCTGAAATCAGGACTGGCCAAGATAAAAGACAAGTTACCTTTTCTGTAACTGGTGTTCTTCGAGATGTAATGGAGATGAGCAACTCATGTTAGCTGTGTGTGCTCACCACATGCACTGGTGCCGTAAGTTTTTCCCTCAGTGGTATCCATAGGGGACCGGCTCTGGAACCCCCTGGAGTGGTGCACGTATGCCGTGGTATAAGGGGCGCCGCAGGCTCTCCCCACCCCCTCACTGCCGGAAACTCCAACAGTGGGGAAGGAGGGCGGGTCATGGAATGGACATGAGCAACACACAAACCCCACAGTATTTTGGGCGCCGACACGAGCGTAGTGTGGACATGCAAATGCGATTTAATTACTGCGGTGGCTGTACATTAACATGAGCAACACATCTCGATGAACACCAGTTACAGAAAAGGTAACTGTCTTTTCTTCGAGTGCTTGCTCATGTCCATTTCATGTTAGGTGACTCCCAAGCAGTACCAATGGAGGCGGGTAGGAGTTCATGGACATGCAGCTTGTAACACAGCTCTGCCAAACCCAGCGTCATCTCTGGCCTGCTAGGTGATGGCATAGGGTGCTGTGAACGTGTGAACTGAAGACCACATCGCGGTTCTGCAAATGTCCTGAATGAGGACATGCGCCAGGAAGGCCCACTTGCACGCTCATCGAGTGGGCTCTCACCAGAGGCGGCGGTTGGACCTGCGCCACCTCGTAACAGGTCTGGATGCATGAGTGACCGGGGTCCAAGTGGGGGCCAGCTGTGGACACTCAATTAGGGTGAACTGCAAAGAACGGGGTAGACAATCCCCATAAAGCTGGTGGATATTCCAATACTTAGATTCACCATAAAACATTCAGCATAAAAAACAGCTTCTTTATTACCTTACTGGTTACTCAGAAGTCCAAACAACACAGTTCCCTTAAAGTGATCCAGCCTCAGACCTCCACCCAGGTACCCAAGTCAAATATGATGATTTCTGAAAATCTTATTTCATAATATAAAAGAAAAGGTTCTACCAATCCCAAAAGATCAGACACATTACCTCCCAGGTTACGGAATATTCCAGATCTTACCCAAATACACGCTTACAGCCAATTCTTATTAACTAAACTAAAATTTAGTAAAAAACAGAGTATGGTTAAAAGATCAATCTACATACAGACATGAGTTTAGTTCTTAAGATTCAGATTCACAGCAGAGATGGTTAGCTTTGTGGTTGCAAAGAGTCTCTTATAACCTATGGTTATAATCCAATGTTTATATTTTAGGGTGATCCAGTTAGAACTGGGATCTCAGTCTTTACAGCTCAAGCTTCTCCTGTATGAAGCCTCAAGCAGATAGGAGATGACAGAATCAGGACCCAATGGTCTTTTATACAGTTTTTTAGCATCCACTTGACCATGCAGTCCTGGGTAAACAATAGGCTTTTGATGTAACCTTCTGTTTTCTAACTACCACCAGTAATTAGTTACACAAATTAACATAGGGCAATTTATCCATTAGGCAGTCTATCACAAACTTCAAAGAGACATATAGACAATAACATTTCACCCAAGAGTCATCTAAATGTTAATATTCCCTTTTGATCTCTGAATTAATAGTTATAGTGACAGACAGGAACTGTCTGTTTACACGGGTAGCATCCAAGATGCACGCAATTATGCCCAAATAAATTTGTTAGTCTCTAAGGTGCCACAAGTACTCCTCGTTCTTTTTATTACTTCACAGGTTTGCATTTCAAAGTTCTAGCCTATTTACTATGAAGGGCCTTAATTACCATTCGCATACCTTTCTAGCATGACTTTAAAAGTCGGCTTTGAGTCATCCAGCCTGCAAGCTGTTTAACCGCTTCTGGCCACGAGTTTATATTCTGTATAAGATTCGTTGCAAGTATATAACAGTGGTAGAAATAATGGCTTGCATAATTATATTTTAATCAGACGTCACAATGAGGTAATCCAGTTGGAGATCCTCAGAGGACACCAGAAGGCCCTTCATCCTGTCCGCTGTCGCGATGAAGAGCTGCATCGACCTGCGAAAGGGCTTGGTATGCTCCAGGTAAAACACCAAGGCATGGCGGACATCCAGGGCGTGTAGCCGCCTTGCCTCATTGGTCTTGTGCGGCTTAGGACAGAACACCGGGAGGAGGATGTCTTGTTGATATGGAAGAAAGACATCACCTTTGGTCAGATGGGGTCGCAACTGTAGCTTGTCTTTGTAGAAGACCATGTAAGGTGGTTCTGAGGTTAGGGCTTTAATCTCCGACACTCATCAAGCCGACGTCACTGCCACAAGGAAGGCGACTTTCCACGATAGGTGGGAAAGGGAACAAGAGCCCAAGGGTTCAAATAGCAGACCCGTGAGTCTGGAGAGAACAAGATTGACATCCCATTGCGGGACAGGATTCCTAATGAGAGGGAAGAGCCTTTCGAGGCCTTTCAGGAACCTGGTGGACATCTTGTGTGAGAACACCGATTTACCCTGGATCGGCAGATGAAAAACTGAGATGGCGGCTAGATGAACCTTAATAGAAGAGAGGGCCAAGCCCTGATTCTTCAGGAGGAGCAGGTATTCCAAGATTGACTGCAGAGAAGAGCGTGTTGAGGAGATGCTACGCTCAGATGCCCAGTGGGAGAACCTCGTCCACTTCGCCAGGTAAGTCGCTCTAGTGGAGGGTTTTCTATTTCCCTAAAGGACCTGCTGCACCTCCCTGGAGCAGGCTCACTCCTCCAGGTTCAACCATGCAGCATCCATGCCGTGAGGTGGAGGGAGGAGAGGTTGGGGTGCAGGAGGCAACCGTGGTCTTGCAAGAGAAGGTCCAGGAGGTTGGGCAGCGGCCCCGGGGGTGGGGGAGCTACTACCAGATCCAACAGCATACCAAACTAATGCTGGCGCGGCCACGCTGGGGCGATGATGACTCGAGCCTTGTCCCTCTTGATCTCTGACAGGGCTCTGCTGACGAGCGGGATGGGTGGGAACACGTACATCAGGACCCCCGACCAGGATAGGAGAAAGGCACCTGGGAAAGCAAGGCCAAGGCCCTGCAGGGAGCAAAATTGATGACATTTCCTGTTCTGTCTGGTGGTGAACTGGTCCACTCGGGGAGTTCTCCACCTCTGGAAGAGCATCTGGACCACTTCTGAGTGGAGCAACCACTCGTGGTGAGAAAATGACCTGCTGAGACGATCTGGCAGCGTGTTCCTGATGCCAGGAAGGTGATAGGCCTCGAGGTTGATCACATGCTGGATGTAGAAATGCCATAGGTGGAGTTCCTCTTAACAGAGGCCGATGAGCATGCTCCCCCTTGCCTGTTGATGTAAAACATCGAGGCCGTATTTTCCATCAGCACTTGAACCACTCGGACAGTTAACTGCAGGAGAAAAACCCAGCAGGCTAGGCGAACTTCCCTGAGTTCTTTGACATTTATATGCAACATCATCTCCTCTGTGGACCACGTACCTTGTGTCCACATCGTGCCAAGGTGCGCTCCACAGCTGAGGTCCGAGGCATCCAATATCAGCGACGCCGAAGGATGCGGGCTGTTGAACTGATACCAGTCAGCTCTGGGGAACCAGGGCGCAGTATCTAGCCTGTCTGACTCATGAAAGACATGCACCCCACCCCCCGACTCTGCTTGAACCAAAACCAATCAGAGAAAAGGCTTGCAGAGAGCAGTGAAAGGCATTAGGAAACACACCTAGACCCCTCCTGACAAGGGTGACAAGATTAAGACATCTCCATTTGCATACAGAATGGAGAGCAGAGACAACTCCCCTAGCCTCATCTGCATGAAAGATGAGACAGAGATTAGCATACAGAATGAAGAACAGAGAACCGCACTGAACTCTGGGACCAGAAAAAGCAGGGAAGCACTGCATCATGGGAATCTCGGCTCCAGATGTTAATGAATGTATGCCTGCCCACACCCAGCTCAGCAGTTATCAGACCAATTCTAGTAATGAATCCTTGATTGATATCCAAAATACTGAAGCAGCCTAGTTGCATTGTGAGCTCCCTGGAAGAAACCACCACCCATAGCCAACAGTGATCAGCTCCTATTGTCTAGCCTAAAGAAAAACCCTTGAGTCATCAGTTTACCCATAAACAAATCTAGTGTTCTCCCTTGAACCATTGTTGTTTCTCTACAAAAACCCCTACCTATGTTCAAGTGTTCTGATGCTTAGATCCAAACTATGCATCAGTTCCACTGGGACTCCATCTTCTCCTGACTGATTGTGCTGGTGGCTCTGCCTGTCTCCAGCACTCAGGACCCTGAGCTACCACCATCACCTGGGAACTCCGACCCAGTTCAAGCCTCATGGAGTGGGTGAGATCCCCCCTCTTTCTCTGTTTTCCTTTCTACCTTAGGTATTAACCTTTAATAATGTATGTTATGTTGGTTTAGCCCTCCTTGTGTGGTTATCACTATTATTCAATAAGTAACTTTTATGGTTAAGCTGGTTGCTTCTCTCTCTCTGAACTTTACTATTTTGTGTTTTTAGCTTCCCTCATTTACTCTACAGCAATGCTTCTTTTACCTAAGCTAAAGATCCCTGCAGCGCCCAAAATACTGTGGGGTTTGCTCATCAAGTAGGTTACTACCAATACAATTGTGATGTGGGAGTGGGGATAGGGCCATGCTGAATCTGGGACACATAAGGGTGGCAGCTTGAAAGTGCTGCTTCATCCAGCCCATTGAATCCAGGGATGTATAAGGAGGTCAGCTTGAAAGTTCTGATTGACCCGGTCCGCTCAGAGTGTGTGTCTGTGTCTGTGTTCGGGTCTGGAGGAACCCAGCCCTAGGGAACCTAGGTCTTGCAGGATAGCTCCACTGGGAGGAGACTTGCAGAAGGCAGAAGTAGAGTGCCATATGAAAACACACGTGACACAAACAGTATGTTGAAAGAATTACAGAACACCCTCCCCCCCCCAGAAGAGTAACCTGAATAAATGAACATACCCCAAAGTAATGGGCAAATCTGGTAACAGAACGGGATCCATCCAGGACTATTCCGGGGTTAGTCCACCACTGCAACGCGGTCAGTACCTCCAATGGACTGGGCATAGACCATAGCCAGCCATTGCTGGAGGGGTCGCATCTGGAGGATCACATGCGAACGAGGTACATGCACGTTGCCATGTGGCCCAGCAGCCGTAGGCAGACCCTGGCCGTCGTGAGAGAGAATGCAGAGACTCCGGCGATGAGTCTGTCGTGTGGCAGAAACGCCTTTGCCCTGGAGGAGTCGAGGACTGCCCCGATAAACTATTCTTTGTACAGGGACTAATGTTGATTTTTCCTTGTTTATCAACAGGCCCAGTCTCCTGCATGTGTTCAGCAGCATCGCGATGGTGTCCTGGACCTGGAGTTACCCTTGACCAGCCAGTCATCGAGGTACGGGTAGATCAAGATACCCCAACACTTGAGATAAGCCACCACCACCGACATACATTTTGTAAACACCCTTGATGCCGTTGCCAGGCCGAAGGGGAGTACTGCGAACTGGTAGTGCACTGTGTCCTTGAAAGATCACTACATGAAAGTACACATCCTTCAAGTCGAGGGCGGCTACCAGTCTCCCAGATCCAGGGAGGGGATGATGGAGGCCAGGGAGACCATGTGGAACCTTAACTTCTTGAGATACTTGTGAGGGTCTTGCAGGTCCAGGATGGGCCTTAGACCTCCCTGGGCCTTCGGGATCATAAAGTAGCAGGAGTAGAACCCTTTGCCCCTGAGGTCTAGGGGGGACTTCTTCCACAGCCCCTGCCTGTAGCAGGCCTTGCACCTCCTTATGCAGTAGACTCTCGTGAGAGGGGTCCCTGAAGAGGGATGGGAGGGAGGGAGAAAACTTGGAGGGTATAGCCTTGCGCCACAGTATTGAGACCCAACGGTCCAAAGTTATAGACACCCAGGCTGGGAGGAAAAAAGAAAGGCGGTTGGAGAACAAAAGGGGGGCAGGATCCAGGACAGTGGCTGGAATGTCACCCTCCAGCGCACCCTCAAAACCCGCTTCAACCCCTGCTGGAAGCAGGAAGAGCCGGCCTGTGTCGAGGTAGAGGGCTGCTAGCCCTGACGGCGTTTGTAGCCCTTGTCCTTCTTCTGGAAGGGCTCTTGGCCAGGCTGACTGGGCTGCTGGTGTGGAGGCTGTGGCTTAATCCGCTTCCTCTGCTGCCCTAGGGTGTATAGGCCCAGGGTCTAAAGCGTAGTGCGCGACTCCTTCAGCCTGTGTAGCTTATTGTCTGTTTTCTCCGCAAACAGGGCTTGACCATCTAAGGGGAGGTCCTGGATGGACTGATGGACCTCCACCAACAAGCCCGAGGACTGTAGCCACGCCGCCCTCCTCATCGTTATGGCTGAAGCCATGGTCCATGCCGCAGAATCAGCCGCATCCGAGACTGCCTGCAGTGCCACCCTCACCACTCCCTGCCACTCTTCCAGGATGGCCTGGAACTCTTTTCTGGGGTCCTCCGGGAGGGAATCGGCAAATTTGGTCATCAATTGCCAAATATTAAAATCATAGCGGCCCAATAGGGCCTGATGATTCGCCACCCTCAGCTATAGGCTTGATGACGAATAAACCTCTCTCCCAAAAAGGTCCAATTTCTTCGCCTCTTTATTTTTGGGAGTAGCCCCTAGTTGTCCATGGCTCTCCTGTTTGTTGACTGCAGACACTACTAACGAGTTTGGGGCAGGGTGGGTATAAAGATATTCATACCCTCTTGCAGGCACACAGTACTTGCGTGCCGCACACTTGGAAATAAGGGGTAGTGATGAGGGGGTCTGCCAGAGGGCCGTGGTAATTTTTGCCACCCCTTCATGTACTGGCAGCGTGACTCTAGGTGGGGCTGCTGAGCTGAGGAGGTTGAATAGGGTGTCCGAGGGCTCCTCTAGCTCCTCTGTCTCTAGCCCCAAGTTCGAGGCTACCCTCCTCAAAAGCTCCTGATGAGCCTTGGCGTCGTCCTGGGGGACTGTAGGCGGGGGTCCAATGATGGCCTCATCAGGGGATGAGGAAGAGGATGCAGGTACAGCAGGAGTCACTGCCTCTGTGCCCTGCTCGGCATGGCCTTCTTCCCCAGTCTGTTGCACCTAAAGGGTCCCATGCCCAGGGGCCTCCATCTCAGGTGGGCGGGAGACCATGGCAGAGGGTGATGGAGACTCGCGACACCGATTTATGGCCTGGGGTGGCTACGTGAACCCGCATGGGTTCCAAGGGTGCCATGGCATGGGCCATTGACCCTGGGGCCACAATAGTGCTGGCAGTGCCAATGGAGGACCTTGGCCCACCTGCAGGGGTTCTTAGTCTGACTCAGAACCTGAGGATGGAGGGCCATATTCCAGAGACTGGGACCGCATCAATGCGGGCGTCTTGGTCCCAGCTGCATCCACTGCCATGCTCCGAATGGGATCTGTATGTGGGCAACGATGCACTGCATCGAGATCCTGGTGACCGGCGTCAGAGTTCGGTGGATCCGCAATGGTACCCTGGCGATCCACGCCAAATGTTTCCCGACCGGTGCCAGTCCATAGAGCGGGAGCAAGAGCGTGACCGACACCACGACGACGAGCGTCAACACTGGTACAATGACCTCTGACTATAGGCTGGTGACTGGTACCGAGAGTCCCGACAGAGGCTTCCGCTGAAGTGGCGTCGATCCAAAGGCGAGTGACGCTCCTGGTACCGGGGTCACGGGGATGAACGTGCCTCAGTAGGCCTACGCCATACCATCGGCAACCAATGCTCAGAGCCCACAGAGCGATGGCTCGAGTCCAGAGACCGGCACCAAGGGCTCCAATTGGTAGGTAGCCCTACGTCCGAGGTGTGGTGGCTCTGCGCAAGCGAGCACCGGTGGGACACTCCCTGAGGTGGAGAGCAATGCCGCACTGACGGGAACTGAGGTGGTGATCCAAAGGCAAGTTTACCCCTTGACTTGGGAGCTACTGTCGCCTGTGCGGACGGCACCGGGAGGGACAAGATATCCTGCGCCACCTGCAGGGCCTCCTGGGTTGATGGCATTGCCAGGTACCGGACTCCCGTGCCACTATCTGGAGTGGCCGATGCATCCTGTGATGGGCTAAGATGGGCTAACCCACACAACTGAAGCTGGGGCCTGACTCTCACTTGGAGGCGATGAGCCACCCTTCGTGGGTCTAGGCTCGCCTCCTGCCCTCTCCTTGCCCTTGTGATCAGGAGAACGACTTCTCCCAGTCTTCCTCTTTTTACTGGGTCATGCCAGGGAGGTGGATTGTCATCTGACGAAAGTACCCGCAGGGCGCTCTGCACCGATGCCGTGATGCTAGGTGCGGAATCCAATCTCGGCTGCTCCAGTGTCTGTGTCAGCGCCGACTCCATAAGGAGTACGTACAATAGAAAGGTTCGCAACGAACAGTTCTACAGAAGGAAAGGTTTGCCAAAGCAAAGGAACATTCCAGTGCCACCACTGGCGGTAAGAAGGAACTAAGGTTGGAGGGTGCCAGTGGCGCCCCTTATACTGCAGCAAACACGCGCCACTCCAGGGGGCACCAGAGGCCATCGCCTATGGATACCACTGAGGGAAAAACTTCCGGCACCAGTGCATGTGACGAGCATTCACACCTAACATGGAATGAACATGAACAAGCATTCAAAGAAGAAACTGGCATTTCAGATTAGCATTGCACATTTTTTTCTTACCAACTCCCTTGTTAGTACTAATACTACAATAGATAGCATATGTTTGAAATAGTAGTGTCCTTACTCAGATGGAAAGTTGCAAAAGAACTTACTGACTTAGGTGTAAAATTAGTCAGTTAAAACAGTGTCCCAGCCAGCCTGGTGGATACCACGCGCAGAATGACCAGTTTAATCTGAAACAGGTCTTCTGACCCTCTGCCATGCTGGCAGCAAGACAAGGCCAGACACTTATGAGAGAGGAGAATGTGTTGCATCAGCATAATTTTCTGATCAACAGGGTGACATTCAAGAGAATTTTGTACCAACTCCCTGGTGGAACAATTCCATTGTAGAGGGCACCTGCTTGTGAAAGGAAGGAGCAACTCCCAATGGAAGGACATTGATGATCCCTACTGGGCAGAAAATCTCTGAATGGCTGTGAAAAATACCTGGTGAGAAACAGCAGTGTATGAGAAAATTCTCTAGACCATGAGTCTGTCATTGGCAGGAAAGGGAGACTTAGGCCTGAAACCATGTGGGAGGAGGAAGGGACATGGAAAAAGACAGAAAATGAACTAAAGCAGTCTTCTTAGTCTTACCTTAATAATCTTGTCTGTCCCGGAAGTCAATAACCATCCCCTGGTTGCGTCAAAGTGTACATGGACAATGTTGTGCTTACTGTCATGGAAAGTAGCTGTGGGTGCACGTCTAAAGAAAGATCAAAAATCAAGAATCAAGGAGACAGCGACTGCAGTATTACCCTGAACTATTCAGAGGAGGAAATAAGAATTTGAACACTAAAGTAAGTAATTGATTTTCTTCAGTGACTCAACTTAATTATTGAGCGAGAGGAGATGGCTTCATGGTCTCTCTAGGGCTATGCCTACACGGCACACCACTAGTGGCAGCATGTAGCTACATGCTGCAGTGAAAAGTGGGCTGCTCCCATGCTGCGGTGTGAAGCTACAGGTGTCAGTGAAAGGCTCTGGCAGAGGGGAGTTGCTGCTGCTGCTACTGGAGCCTTTCCCTGCTTCCTCCCTCTGCCAGAGCCTTTCCTTGCTGCCAGAGTCTTCCATGCAATAGGGAAACAGCGGGATGCTACACTGCTACTTTTAGTGGTGTAGAGGGGGTAGGCGCTGCTTGGGAGTGTAGAGAGCTGTGGAGGGGACATACCCACAGGGTTCAGGCGTCTTTACTCATCTAAGCAGTGCTTCCCCATCTACACTGCTATTTATACCTGTGCTAGGGAGGTGTGCAGTATAAACATAAGGACCGTGCAGTTTAGACACACCCTATGAAGGATGACCTGTAGTTCCCTGGAACCACAGAAATTCCTTCAGAGATAGAAAAAATCGAATTTCCCGGGCAGTTACTGTGCAGGAATCTTTCAGATGAGATATTGAAAACGTAAGTGTACCTGCTTTCGTGTGGACAATGAAGATACCAGGGCACTTTTGATCTTTCCTTGCCCAATATTGCATTGCACTGTGCATCTCCCCAGGGGTGTCCGAGTTTTAGTAAACCACAGAAGACAGAACTGGAACACACCTTATGAGATCATCCAGTACATCTCCACTGTCCAGGCAAGATGGTTCCCTACAGCACCTTTTCCAGTGTTTCGTTCAGCGTCCCAAACAATGGGGTTTCCAGCACTTATTTAAAAAGACTATTCTATAGCCTAATGGATTCCATTTTCAGGAAGCTTTTCTTTCTAGTTAGCCTAAAGATGTTTCTTTTAATTTCATCCTACTGCACCTAATTATACCCTGCTTTACCACATTAAATAAAACAGACACCACTAAAAAGTCAGTTTCCTACAATTAATACAGTTATGTGGTATGCCAGGTAAATGCTAATTTAAAAAAAGTTATCAGCACTCTAACTAGCCTCTTCCTTTGGGGTATTTGTAGATGGTTGTCTTTCCCACAGCCACTTAGCTGTCACTCAGCCAAATGGGACAGGCACTGACTGAAGGGAAAGTGAGTGGGCCTTGGTGAAGAAGTATGGTGCTATGACAGAAGCCCATCCTGCTGTCCCTGGTTTTAAGGCCCCAGGCTGAAATCTCTGAAGCAGGGTGGGCTTCATCTCTCAAGAGACAATGAGAGGTTCACAGAGATGGTCATGTTTAGGGTTACCATATTTGAACTTTAAAAGAAGAGGACACTCCGGGGGGGGGGGGGGGGG